TATGTTCTACTATGTATTAGGGTGTAAAATGCTATTGGAATTGAGTATTCCCTTCATTAACTCCTTTAATGATTTATGATTGTAACAACATACTGTACTGCCTTATTATAAGTAATATTAATGTTTACTACTGTCCTAGTCATTATAATCAAATAATGATTACTATCATTATGATGCCTTAATTAAAGAGTCCAGGAACGGAGGGTTGTTGATTTTTAATAACAATGTCAAGCAAAACAAACAACAAAACCAAATACTATTTTGATAACTTATATTAAATATATTGAACTTTGTTTTATTTTAATTAATTTTATTTTAATATTTAGTATATATTTAATACTTAATTATATTTAAATATATAAGTATACATATTTAAGACTAAATATAAATATATTAAATAATAAACATATTTAATCATTAATTAAATCAACTTATTGAACACTCACTATATTCCAAGGCAATATTTAATTGTAGAGACAAAGATATTTAAGAAATTGTCCTAATCCTTGAGGTAATCTAACAGATTATAAAACATACTTATAAACACTAAAATATAATATAATGAAGGCAGTGTAAGTATGTGCTTTAGGAAGTAATAAAAAACACTGGTAAAAATATGTAGGTATAAAAGCCAATATTATCATACTTTTGGTTTGTAACTGTTTTTTTTCATGTGATTTAAAAGGCAAATGCATAAAACGATAATTGTAAATTATGTCAATGGCACAAATGTATAAAGATGTAATCTATGACAATAACAATATAAAAAGGGAGAGGCAGAGATTAACCCCAAGGTAACACTAAGAAAATAACTGAAAAATATACACAAAAGGAAAGAAGGGAATCAACATAGTACATAGCAAAAAACAGCTAAATGCAAAAAAGGCAATAATGAATGAACTGAGGAACAAAAAGCATATAAGACATGCAGAAAACAAAGAGTTAAATGGTAAAACAAGCCCCTTCCTTATCAGTAATTACTTTAAACATAAATGGATTAAACTCTCCAACAGAAAGGCAGATATTGGCAGAATGAATTAAAAAACATGATCCAGGATTTCCCTGGTGGCGCAGTGGTAATGAATCTGCCTGCCAATGCAGGGGACATGGGTTTGAGCCCTGGTCTGGGAAGATCCCACATGCCGTGGAGCAACTAAGCCCATGTGCCACACCTACTGAGCCTGCGCTCTAGAGCCCACGAGCCACAACTACTGAGCCTGCGCGCCAAAACTACTGAAGCCCACAAACCTAGAGCCCGTGCTCCGCAGCAAGAGAAGCCATCACAATGAGATGCCCGCGCACCGCAACGATGAGTAGCCCCTGCTCGATTCAACTAGAGAAAGCCCACGAGCAGCATCAAAGACCCAACGCAGCCAAAAATAATTAATTAAAAAAAAAAACATGATCCAACTATATGATGTCTACAAGAGACTCATTTTAGATATAAGGAAGTTAGACTCATTTTACAACATATACAAAACTTTACTCAAAATGGATCAAATATTTAAATTTAAGAGCAAAAACTATGAAACTCTTTGACAAAAAACATTGGGGGCAAATCTGCATGACCATGGATTTGGCAATGTTTTCCTAAATTTAACACCAAAAACACAGGCAACAACAACAAAAAATGAAGTGAGCTTTATTAAAATTTCAAACTTTGTATTTCTTTTATATCTTATAGAAGTGTACTATTATTTTCAATAACTTGTTTGATCATTTATAAATTTTTAGAAATCCATAATGGTGCTCTGAGTTATTTCAGATACTCAGATATTTCAGGTACTATTATATTCTGGTCATTTCCAGAAGATAAAAAGTCCTTAATTATTATAAAAATTGCTTATCTATACTCTTTAAGCTTATAAACATCAGTCTTTTGAATGAATGCTTTATAAATATCCTTTAGTTATTAAAAAAAAAGGCCAGGACTCCTTTTCGGAGTCCTTATTCTAAGCCCTTTGCCATGTGTGGTGGAAAATACCCGCTCCCCACAGCCCCTCCACTGCTGTTGACTTTGGGCTTGGGCATATGACATGCTTTGGGCAATATGTTAGTAGATGTGACATAAGCACGTATTTGAAAAGTGCTTACACAGTCAAGCGTGCTCTCTTGTACCTCTGCCATTGCAATAACATGTTTTGGCTGGTCTGTTGGTCCACAAAGGATGAGATCCATCAGCAGAGCTGATCCAGTTGAGCACCACCTATGTTGGTCAAACCATAGCAGGGTGACTGAGCCCAGCTGAAATCATCTGTTGCCCACCCCACCCTCATAGATGCTGACCCATAGTAAATGACTGCTATTTTAAGCCACTGAGTTTTACAATTGTTTGTTAGACAGGAAGAAGTGATCCAGACATATGCAACAAGAAATACACTTCCAAGTCTTTCCAATAATGACTTTTCCTCTTCATCTGTCTGTCCCTTGATCCTGCAGCTCAGACTACTCTTGGGTCCACCCTACTTGTCCCTTTTAGGAACCACTAGGGAAACTCCTTTAGAATCACCCTCCTCTCCTCCCTATGCAGACCTCATTGAAGCTTCTGTTATTTTGCTATTTTATACAACTAGAACCACTGGAATTCAAATAAGCACAACTATGACAAGTAGGACCATTACTGAGGGATGTCAGAGCAGGTCACTGGTATCTTGTTTTTTAAACAACAGACTGAGATGTTGCCTGGGAAGAACTTATCCTGAGGAAAGAAAGCATTAAGAAATCCAAGATTGGTGCAATAACAACACCCAGAATCACAGTTGTTGGGAATGACAGTAGAGAAAACAGAAGGTAAATGTAATTTTTTTTTCCTTCACAAGTAACACTTTATTTAATTTTAAGGATTTTTCAAAGAATAACATAATAAACACCTGTATTCTACCCATATTTTCTTTAAGCTTGTCTTTTAGTAAAACAGCTATTATAGCAAAAGCTAAAGTCCCTTTTGATAACTACCCCCAATATCATTCCTTTCTCTTCTCATACACAATCACTATTATGAGTTTGATGTGAATTCTTTCAGGGCTTGTTACTTTGTGAGTGTAATATTTAGTACAACCTAGTTATTAGCCATAAAGCTCCTTTTCCAGCTCTCAAGGACTCATACATAGGTCCAAGAATGAAAGAAGATACAAGCAAAAGTTGAAAGAGCTAGTTTTAGGGGGAAAAATTTATATTTAAGACGTGGGAAGAATGCGTGGTAGAAAGTGTGGGAAAGAGATTCTCTCCACTTAAACAAAGCAGTGTTAGTACAGTAATATAGGGCCAAGGTAAAATGATAAGACATCAAAAAAAGATAGTACCACTGCCGACAGCAGTGCAATCAGCAGAACTCAGCTTCAGTGGAATGAGCACTAATACTATTGATGGTGAACACAACAGTTTTCTTGAGTGGATGTCTACTGTTTCATCAGTAGTAGTAGTCAGAGGCAGCATTAGCCACTTTAGAATAGGAGCCCTGGGAATGGTCATCAGCACTCTCAGTGGTAGCACTGGTGGCTGGAGAAAGGCAGTAGAAGCCACCAAAGTACTGTAGGCTGAAAGGATTAAATACCTCCTGAGGACTTTCAGAAATTTTGACAAGGTCCAGAGGTTAGGGAAGAGTAGAAGCTAACTAGAGAAATATTATTACTGTTACTACTATATAATTCACAGTGTCTAGTAAAATATTATCAATAAAGAAGATAACTGCCTAGAGAAAGAATTCTTGTTTTAGTATGAGATCCTAGCAGGTTGTATCCTGGGAGGGATATGGATTATACTCAATGGAGTCAGCTCAGTGGCCAGAAAACCTCAAATCTTGGTCTCAGGTTGCTAGCAACTTCAAATTCCTGTAGGAAGTAAAAGAAAATCCTCCCCGATAAAGATAACATCACCTTAGGCTTCAAATTATTACTACAAATAATTTTTCAAGTATGTTTATCAAACAATTAGTGATAATGAAGCAAAACTCCTGTTTCTGACCAAGGTAGAATACCTGGTTTAGGAATATCCCTCCCACTGTAAGTAACTGTAAAACTGGACAAAACAGATAAAGCAACTGCTTTTAGGGAGTAGACACCAGGCAGCCTAAAACTGTAATCTCAGAGGTAAGATGATCTCATAAGATCCATTAGGTGAACTCTATGACTCTCAGCTCTCTTCCTAGGTATAATTTTCTGACAGTAGCACAGAGCACTGAAGTACTGAAGTACAAGTATGGTGTTTCTGCCGAGCTGAAGTGGAAGATATCAGAACTTGAAACAGCGAAAATCACTAAAATCTGCAGGACAAGGCATGGCATTGGAGAGAAGGGAGATAGAGAAAGGGCCCTAGAATTCCCCGGGGGCTCCCTGTCAGTCTGTGGCTAAGAGTTTGATAAAACACAAATTGCTGGGCTCTACCTCCAAAGCTTCTGATTCAGTAGGAGTCTGGAAATATCTATTTCTATTAAGTTCCCAGATAACAGTGATGCTCCCGACCCAGGACCACACTTTGAAAATCACTCTTATTAAGCAGAAGACAGGGTAAGTTAAAAATAAAATAAACCCATATCTCCTAAACCTTTCTCACTCATTCTGAGTCACTAGAGCATTAAAATAAAATGTCTGGGGCTTCCCTGGTGGTGCAGTGGTTGAGAATCCGCCTGCTAGTGCAGGGGACATGGGTTTGAGCCCTGGTCCAGGAAGATCCCACATGCCGCAGAGCAACTAAGCCCGTGTGCCACAACTACTGAGCCTGTACTCTAGAGTCTGTGCGCTTAGAGCCTGTGCTCTGCAACAAGAGAAGCCATCGCAATGAGAAGCCCGTGCAGCGCAATGAAGAGTAGGCCCCGCTCGCCACAACTAGAGAAAAGCCTGTGTGCAGCAACCAAGACCCAATGCAGCCAAAAATAAATAAATTCATTAAAAAATAAAATAAAATAAAATGCCTGAGGATACAAGAAAAATGTCTAATTAACTTTACACAAAATCAACAACTTCTGTGATAAATAAAAACTTCTTAAGGCTCTGCTGGCCTACCTGTAGATCTTTCACATTTGGAAAAGGAATTCCTATTGTTATGACAGCACGGGCGTTGTCATCTGAGAAATCCAGACCCTCACTCACTTTACCACGACAAACTGCCACCAGGAGGGCGCCATCTTAAGCAACAGAAAATCAACATTTTTATAAGCACAGTCAAAATTCCCAGAAATTCTTATTCTTGTCGTTTTGAAAAGATCTGATTATTAAGTAATTTTAATACCAAATTTTAAAGAAACAAAAATTAAAACTATTATAAAGTTTTAAAAATTCAATGTCTTCAAATAAATAAAAGAAACAAAATTACATTTAGGTGCAACATGGTAGAACCAATTTATAAACTGTGTATCTCCCAGTTAAACTATACAGAAAAACCATGTCAGAGTAGTAACTTGCATGTGAGCTGAGCAACTGTGAACCAACTGTTTTAACTGTAAAATACTGAAATTGAAATCACTATCTTTACCACCAGAATGTAAAGTTATCAGAATGATTTAAATAACTCTAATATATATACTATATATCATATTGAATCAATATTATATTGAAAAGTATTTAAAACACACATACACAGAATACCCTGTGTATAATCTTACCATACAAGGATATTGACAATTATGTTACAATATCTTTATGATGTTGCACTGTTCATAAACTACTATTAGCCCTTCTTGTCAAACTTTTTATGGGCATTCTCTAACTTTGAAATTTAGCCTTCAGTTATGTTTTGAAAACTCAAGTTTACCTTATGTAATAAAATATAAGCACAAAGTATATTTTTTACATAAAAATGTAGGGCTCATTTGGCTAGTAAGTAAGATATTAATGCATACTCTACCTACCTTCTTTAACAAAACATTTTAGTTAGCATAAGGAAGTCTATGGGATAATACCTGAACTCATGCCATTTCATAAAACTGAACTGGCATCTTCAAGTGAAAATATTCACAGGAGAACAACTCCAAATAAAAGAATTTCTTTAACCTATTTTCTTTTCACTCAGGATTATAAAATATAATTTTTCTCAAGTGCAATTCATTTAAAAAAGATAACACAAAATTCTAACAGCACCAACTTTTCACTTTATGGGGAAAATTTTTTTTCACTGACCATCAAATAATTTCCAATTACCTTTTTCTCCTTTGTACTTGATTGCATCATAGTACATCTGCAGTAATTCATCAAAATCAGTTTTTTCTCCTCTCTGCGGTTCTACAATGACTGTCTTCACCAACTCCAGATTATGCCATACACCAGTGGAGAGCCAACGTTCTTTTAACTTTTCTAGTAACTGGAAAGGGGAAAGAAAAAAAATGGTTTTTTTGTGTGTGTCCAACTGAACTTACATTTATTTGTTGAAAGACAATGTGACTACAATGGCAAGAGTATTAACCTTTCTGTGTTTGACTCCATAGAAAGAGGAAAACAATTATATGTCATAGAGTTGTTACTGGGTAAATTCATTAACCGATATAGAAAGCTCTGAATGATGTCTGGCACACAGTAAGAGCTCCACAGATGTTAGCTGTTGTGGCTGCTGTTACCATTACTATTACTACTAACATTACTGCTGCTACTGCTACTACTTCTCTCATTGCTATCTTAGGGATTTCAAAAGCAGGAAAAAATTACTTCTGTCAAAATTCATAAATTTTAAGTTATCTCTAAATCTAAGGTGAAGTTCTTGATATCTTTAACTAAAGATACTTTAAATGAAGATTCTTTAAGATCATTTTACCTAGCCCATAGGCAGCTATGCTGTTTTAAAATTTGATCATCATTAATAAACTGAATTGAGTAAATATATAAACAGAGACTCAGGTAGCCAACAAGTAGAAAATATAAAGGCACAAATGGAACATTTACAAAAATAAACATGCTAGATTACAAAAGGACTTTCAACAAATTTCAAAGAATCCTTATCAGATTAACCACATATTCTAACAACAATGCAATTTTAGGTTAAAAGTCAATTATATAAAGTTAGTGGGAAAAAACAAACATACAAGCCCGACACTAAAGACTGTATTCTGAAAGAGCATATGTGTTATATGTCAATTATATCTCAATAAAACTGGAAGAAAAAGAAAATAAATAACAACAAAAAAGAACATATGGTTTATAATTTACTTTATTTTTTTGGCTGCACCACACAGCATGCAGGATCTTAGTTCCTCAACAAGGGATCGAACCCGTGCCCCCTGCAGTGGAAGCACAAAGTCCTAACCACTGGACCGCCGGGGAATTCCCAAGAACATATGGTTTAGAGAGGAAAACAATAAAATTCATGACATCTTTAGATATGAATGACAAAAAGCACCCATAATTCAAAACATGTGGGATGCAGTAAAGGCAATACTTAGAAATATGCTATAACTTGAAATGTATTTTAAAAATTTAAAACTAATGGAATTAAGCATTCTTTTTAAGAAGCTAGAAAATTAAACAGAAAATGCAAAGAAAGCAGAAGTTAATAAACATAAGAGCTGAAATAAATTAAAAAAGACAAAAGTCAGTAGTAGAGATTATTATGATTTAAACTGAACTGCTTTACCTACTTGTTTTATGCAGAGTTCTACGCAATATGGACCAATTATTACAATACAGGCAAGCACCAAGAAATTACTCCAAATTCTCTAGAGAACAAAAACTAATTTTTATAAGATGGTTTATTTCCTCAGAATTTTTCCTAATCTATTTTCAGAAATAATCTTAATAAGATTATAAAACAAATTTAAAAAAAAAATCATTGCTATGGTCTGAATGTTGGTGGTCCTCCAAAATCTTTTTTTTTTTTTTGCGGTATGCGGGCCTCTCACTGTTGTGGCCTCTCCCGTTGCAGAGCACAGGCTCTGGATGCACAGGCTCAGCGGCCATGGCTCACGAGCCAAGCCGCTCCGCGGCATGTGGGATCTTCCCGGACCAGGGCACGAACCCGTGTCCCCTGCATCGGCAGGTGGACTCTCAACCACTGCGCCACCAGGGAAGCCCCAAAATCATTTTTTGAAATCCTAATCCCCAAAGATGAAGGTATTAGGAAGTGGGGTCTTTAAAGGTGATTAGGTCATGAGGGCGGAACTTTCACAAATGGGATTAGTACTCTTATAAAAAAGATCCCACAGAGCTCCCTTGCCCCTTCCACCACAGGAGGGCACAGCAAGAAGCCACTGGCTTCTGACAGGAAGAGGGCTCTCACCCAACCATGCTGGCACCCTAATCTCGGACTTCCAGCCTCCAGAGCTGTGAGAAATAAGTTTCCGTTGTTTACATGCTACCAAGTCTGTGGTATTTTGTTATAGCAGCCAGAACACACTAATCACTAAGAAAATCACTAATTGGTAAAATAGTTTGCTGCATATTATACATTGATCATGGTGTCCTGATCAATAAAAATAAAAATTCCCCATAACACCATGTTAACAGGTAAAAAAACATAGGGATATTATTAATTTAAAAATCTTCTTTGAGTGCCTCAACGTTGGCTATTAGAATTTCCTTTCTGAATATGCACTTTCTGAATCAAAGTTTCTCACCATGCAAATTCTTAGTCTGTTCTGGCTGTTGTAATTCAGTTAGAAGAGTGTAAAAATATCCCAAGGATGTAAAACCAGATGAAGTGTGTCATGAATTTGCATAATTGTTGATTCTTAGTAGAATGAAATTCAATGGTGGTATACCTTTTTCTGAAAACATAGATAATATTTCAACTCTTTTTCCTTGAGTCTGAGATAATAGCAATTTCAATGTTTTGAACATTCAAGATCTGGAGAAATACCTAACATTTTACTTAAGGAAGACCATTAAGTTGATGACTCCAAAATATATTCCATTTTAATAGACTAACATCTATTTAAGAAGGGAAACCTGAGAAATAAGAAAGAAACTGGTTCAATGCACGAAATTACCCCCAAAGAAATCCAGTAGGGAATTTTTCCCCATTATACAGAACAGAATCAGAATATCAAAGAGTTATACATGATTTAGAAAATGTCTAACTTTGTGTTCACAAAAGCTTAGAAAATTTTAAAGCAGGTATGATATATGCAATATTTCAAAATTTATTACAAAAAAGACATTTTATCCACTGATTTTGGATTCTAAGAACTTCAGAAATTTATGGACAATGAAAATGGTCACAGGTTTGTAAATAAATCGTGCGTATCACAATTTAAAATTACGATATGCACTATCAATCACTTCAGAAAACTTCCATAGCAAGTACAGATTAAACTGTCACATGTTACTGGATCTTTAAAAAATTTTACCTACAAAATAAAGCTGTTAAGCTTGTTGACATATCTGAAGGAACTTTTAGCTTTAAAGTTCTTTGATTCTATTAAATTTTAAAAACTGAATTGTCAGGGTATAATACTGACATATAAGATTACAATTTGGAGAACAGAAGACAACGAAAAGGAGGAAAGGTGGGCCACTCAAAAACAAACTACTTTTTTCTAGGTTTGCATTAGATCTGAAACTTTATTGTTAATGCAAATTTTATAACTTGGGCAAAATTTTTCCCCTACATAAATCATTCAAATTTGCTTTAATTTAAAAAGGAAAGACTATTTAAACTATCTAAACATAGCTAAGAAGTTATTAATTTGTTTCAAGAAAAAATTAATGCAATCTGACACCTATTACCCTTTCCAAAGGTATATTTAGAGCCAGATCCAGAGGTATATTTTGGGCAACTCTAGCAAAGCTGAGGCAGCAAGAGACAAAATATCGATCATGACTAGGAGAACTCTTACTCAGAAATCTGCTCTTCAGTTGTATCTATTTTTAATGTGTTGGTGAGAATATGGAGAAATTAGAACTCTCATACACTGTTGTAGGAATACAAGATGGTGAGGGTGCTTGGGAAAGGAGCCTAGCAGTTCTTCAAAAGGTTAAACATAGAGCTACCATATGACCCAGCAATTACACTCATAATCAAATATCCAAGAGAAATGAAAACATATGTCCACACAAAAACTTATATATGAGTGTTCACAGCAGCCTTATTCATAACATTTAAAAAGTAGAAAAATCCAAATATCTTTCCATTGATTAACAGATAAGTAAAACATGGTATATTCATACAATGTAATATTATTTGGCCATAAAAATGAATGAAGTACTGATGCATGCAATAACATGGATGAATCCTGAAAACAACATACTAAGTAAAAGACGCCAGACACAAAACACCACATATTGTATAATTCCATTTATATGAAAGTTCCAGAATAGGCAAATGCATAGGGACAAAAGTAAATCAGAGGTTGCCCAAGGCTGGGGAAAGGAGAAAATGTGGTGGAAGATAGGGGATTAAATGAGTATGGGGCTTCTTTTAAGAGTGATGAAAGGGGCTTCCCTGGTGGCGCAGTGGTTGAGAGTCTGCTTGCCGATGCAAGGGACACGGGTTCGTGCCCTGGTCCGGGAAGATCCCACATGCTACGGGGCAGCTGGGCCCGTGAGCCATGGCTGCTGAGCCTGCGTCCGGAGCCTGTGCTCCGCAAAGGGAGACGCCACAACAGCGAGAGGCCCGCATATCGCAAAAAAAAAAAAAAAAAAAAAAAAAGAGTGATGAAAATGTTCTAAAATTAGTGAACTTTGTAAATCTAATAAAAACCACTGAATTATACACTTTATATGAGTGAATTGTATGGTATGCAAATTATATCACAGTAAAGATATTTTATTAAAACAATGATAAACAGGATACAGAACTTCCAAACCACTAAAAAGGGAGGGGGGCAAAAAACCCAAGTCAATAGAATAAGATAAACAAGAGGGGAAAAGAGGTAAAAGAACGCACAAAATAAGATGGTAGAAAATAAGTCCAAATACGCCAAAGAATCAAAGCAAACATAAAGTTAAATCATTTATTAAAAATGAGACAATCAGATTGTTTGGAAGAAGGGAGGGAAGGAGGAAAGGAGAGTGGGAGAGAAAAAAAGAAAACCAGCTATATGTTGTTTATCAATAGAGACACTTAAAATTAAACAACAAAGAAACCTTGAAAATAAAGATATGGAAAAATATATACGAGGCGTATATTTATCAAAAGAAATCAGGTGTATCACTGTCATAAAAAAATAGACTTCAAAGTAAAAAGCTTTAAAAGAAACACGGATATATATTCCATACACATAAAAAGTGCATCAGGGCTTCCCTGGTGGCGCAGTGGTTGAGGGTCTGCCTGCCGATGCAGGGGACACGGGTTCGGGCCCCACTCCGGGAAGATCCCACATGCTGCAGAGCGGCTGGGCCCGTGAGCCATGGCCGCTGAGCCTGCGCGTCCGG